GCCTGAGCCTGCGACCCACACCGTGGTCAAAAGCACGAGCAGCTTGGGTTCCTTTCTGATTATGTTCAGACGCTGAGATGCCAAAGTAGACCTGCGTGTGAAAGGCGGGCGTGTGGGGTCGCTGAGCGTGCGTATGGAGTAGACGTTGGCATCCTATATGCGAATATGTCTGGGCATGTCTCCACGAGTTTAGAATGGTAGTTTGGGGTATGGTCGTTTTGGCTATGCCTGTAAGAGTTTCGAATGATGATGCCTGTGGAAGAACCGGAAGGAACCCAGTGCATAACACAGTGGAACTCGCAACTCCTGAGACGGAGAAGGAGAGGGAGCGAGGCATGCGGGAAGGAGAGGGAGGGAGAAGGGTAGGAGGGTGAGGGGGAGAAGGAGTGAGGAGCGTGGAGGGCGGAGAGGACGAAGGATGAGGGAAAAGATGAGGAGGGCGAGGAGAAGGAAGGAGAACGAGGAGGCGCACTCAGAAGCTCAATCTCCTGCCTGCCCTTGCGACGATTCGAAGAACCCCCCGGGAGCAGAGACGGCCCCTCTTCCGCCGAGTGCCAGCGCCCCGGGGGCTGTCGGACAGAGCACTCTCCGACGCAGAGGCCGAGCCCTCCTCTGCCAAGTCACCGTTCCTCCCCTTCCTTCCCCACCTCCTCCTCGTCCCCCTCCTGATCCTCCTCGCCCTCATCCTCCTGCTCCTCCTCCTCCTCCTCCTCCTTCTCCTCCTCATTCCCCTCCTCGTCCTCATATTGCTCGTCTTCTCTATAGCACATCTTCCTCGCTATGATTCCTCCTCCTCCTCCTCCTCTTCCTCTTCCTCCTCCTCCTCCCACACCTCTTGGTCGCCACTCTGCTGCTAATTTGTTTTCTCCACCACCACCACCACCTCCTCCTTCTCCTCCTCCTTTCTCCTCCTCCACACCATCGAGCCAGATCTGTTTTCCGCCCCCATCATGCGCTCCGCCGCCTGCTCCCCCTCCTCCTTCTCCTCCTCCTCTTCCTTCCTCCTCCTCCTCCCACTCCTCCTCCTCTCTCTCTCCTCCTCCCCTCCTCCTCCTCATCCTCCTCCTACCCCCTCCTCGGGGGGGGGTCCTCGGGGGGGGGGGGGGCCTTGGGAGGTCCCAGGTCAGAATACGGTTCCCCCCTTCCCTTGTCAGGCCGCCTTCGATCAAATGTGGCCCTCCCTCGGCAGATCAGGTCCAAGATGCTCCAAGAGGGGCCCAAGAGGGCCCAGAGTCATCGAAAGATTGCTCGAGGACGCCCGAGATGGCCTCCAGACGGCCCAGGGCGCCTCCGAGACGCTCCAAGAGGCCTCCAAGAGCACTCCCAAGAGGCAAAAACCCTGGGCCCTCGATTCTCCCTGCTCCTCCTCCTCCTCCTCCTCGTCCTCCTCCTCCTCCTCCTCCTCCTCTTCATCCTCCTCGTTCTCCAACTCCTCTTCCTCCTCCTCCTCCTCCTCCTCCTCCTCCTCCACCTCCTTCTCGTTCTCCAGCTCCTCCTCCTCCTCCTCCTACAGGATTTGCCCATGTTGAAATGAATTGGCAACTCTCTTTCGCTATATTGTGAATGATGGACAGATTTCCCGCCACCACTACCATAGCTAGCACGGGTGACAAGAGAGGATTGGACGGTCCTCCTGCTCCTCCTCCTCCTCCTCCTCCACCTCCTCCTCCTCCTCCTTCTCCTCCTCCTCCTGCTCCTCCCCCTCCTCCCTCTCCTACCTATGGTGGTGGTGGTGGGAAATCGGCCCATCAGTGAATACTGGGCCGCGTCTGCATCGCAGAGGAGGGTGGGAGGAGGCCGGTTGCCAAAAACCCTGCCCCGATTTGTGTGGCTGCCGCGGGGACCTCCAAAAACACCAACCCAGAGGCTCGGTGCAGGGCCGGATCAGAAGAAGAAAACACGGCACAAACATAAATTTGTGGCGCTCCGCGAGGCTTTCTGGGATCTGCACTGGACCCCCCTCGCTGGCGCGGAGCGCGCCATGGGGCGGCGCCGGAGGCGCCGCCGGAGGGGGGGGCATCGCGGATCCAAGACATCCGCGCGGAGCGCCACAAGTTTATGTTTATGGCGTTTTCTTTCTTCGGCGGACATCGCGCAACGACCCTTGGCTTAGGTCGGGCATGTTCTCCTACAGGCGGATTTCGGAGGAAAATAATAATCAACAAACATTCGGACTATTATTTTACTACTCTTGAATATTCCTCCTGTAAGGGGACAGGCCCGACTTACAGTGCGGGCCCGACCACGAGAACCCTTCCACAAGAAACCCAACCCTGAGACCCCAGGACGTCTGGTGATTTTTGGCTTGGGAACGTCACGCTTCCGTAGCAAGACCATCGAGACCCAAGAAAACCAGGGGACCCTGAAGGCAAGCTGGGTGTCTCTTGACATGGGCTTCCACTGTAACTCTTGGCACTCTGAACTCGGCGGCAGCCAAGAGTGGGCGTCCAAGAGGGGGGACGCAAATCATGGCCCTTTGGGGGAGGGGCCAGGGACGTAATGAAATCAGAAGAGGCGCCATGAAATCTGGGGAAATACCATGGCCCCCGCCATGATATCCCCCCCCCCCAGTCATCACCCCCCTCTTTGCCGCCCCCGACCCAGGGCACCCTGGAGGCAAGCAGGGTGTCTCTTGGCATAGGCCTCCACTGCAACCCTTGGCACTCCCCACCCACACCGAAGGCCCGCGGGCAGTGCCGCCCGGGACGGCCGCGGCGGTCGGCCCCGCGGAAAGCTGCACGGCCGCCCCCTCGGCCCCGCCGCCTCCCGAGGGCGTCGGCCTCTCCGGCGCGGCAGACAGGCGGAGCCCCCTGTGGGCCTCTGGCGGCGGCTCGGTGGGGCGCCGACGGGGCGGGGGGGGGCACCTGGAGCACTCCCCGGCATTCCCAGAGGCCTACCACGACATGTTCTTAAACCCAGAAGTGTTCTTAGAACACGAACAATGTTCTTAGAACATAAGCACGGCGTGTTACAACAAAACAATATCAACCAGAAATGTTCTAGGAACATTTCGTGGAAAGCACAAAAGGTTCTTAGAACATTCTTTGGTAGGCCTGTAGGCGAGCCAGGACGCTTCGCCACTGCTTGAATTCCAGGGGACGCGCAGAGACATGCTGGCACTATATGGGGGCGACTTCGAGAGCCCTGCAGCCAAAAACGTTGTTTCATCTCTTGGGGACACATCTTTCACTTCCGCCGCCTTCCGCCAGCCTTCCGCCGGCTTCCGCTCCCGCCGCCCTTCCGCCGCCTTCCGCCGCGGAGGAGATGACAAATCATTCGATCTTCGAAGGCAAGGCCCTTCTTGGAACGCCCCATTTGCCCTCCTTGGAGGCGCGCGTCCGACCCGAACATGTAGTATACCCGTCTTGTAGTATACATCATTCCCCGAGCGGCGTGGCCGGAGAGCGCCCGCCCCGACGCATACACATATCTACGAGACTTCTCGGTGCGCGCGTCGCCCCTGGGGGGGCGGCGCACACCTGGTAGTAGTATGTTGGGGCTGACGCCGACTCCAGGCACAGGAGAGCCCAGAATCGAATCGACAAGTCGGATCGGCGATCGACATGCATCGGATCGGCGGAAATCGGCAGCCGAGTCGGGACACATCGAAGCGGCAGGCATCGGCAGGCTGGTAGGCCTCCATCGAGACATCGGATCCCAAATCGGGATCCGAAATCGAGTCGACTCGGAACGAAATCGAAGCCATCGAAATCGAAATCGAAGCCATCGAAATCGAATCGAAATCGAATCGAATCGAATCGAAGCCATCGAAATCGAAATCGAATCGGAGGAATCGAAGCGAGCCGCGGTTCCGCGCCTTAGGCGGCCTCCCTCGCTCTCGGCGGAGGGCCGGCGGAGGGAGCGCGGGCGGGGGGTGTCCACCAGCGGAGGGGGCAGCGGGAGGCGGCGGGAGGAGAAGCGAGACGCCACCACCACTGGCGTGGAAGGCAGAACAAATCTGCATCGAGAGTGGGGGGGGCCACTCCGAACACGGCGAGGGCACTGGATAAGGAACCACTGGAGAAAGGATCCAGGGTCTGGCAGCCGGTGGAACGCCCACTGAGGCTTGGCCATGGCTATCACCGCCGCCCTCATCGGCCAAGGGATTCTCCAGGGTCTGGAGCTTCCCGGGTACCATCCTTAACGAACGCCCCCACCGAACCCCCTCCCCGCACCCCCGCGGCCTCAATATTGAGCAGTTGTTTCCGGAGATGAGCGGCCAGAAAAAAATCTGAGCCCAAGATCTCGATCGCAATGCGTTCCAATATTAAGGCGGGGGGAGAGTGGGGAATCCGGTTCTTCGTCAAACATGTATCCAAGGTTGCCAGAACCATGTCGACCAATGCCAAGCTTGGAAGCTCGAATGTGACAATGACATGATGTGTACGGTGACCGTTGGGAGGCAACGCTGGAGAAACGACTTGAAACATGGGTTCCAGGCATCCGAGGAAAACGTATGTTAAGAAGATCACCGTGACGATGACGACGACGCCCACCTGGCAATGTTTGACCGTCACCCTCCATTAAACAAGAACTTTCGGAGGTCCGTGCGGATGTCTTGGGTCGGCGCTGGACCCCCTCGGCACAACCCTTCCCTGTCGCGCGCAGCGCGCGGGGGGCGGCCCCAGAGGCGTCTCCAGGGCTGGCGCGGACAGGCAGGGGGGTTCACAGCCAACGCGAACAAAAAAGCGCGGGCCACCTGGAGCCTAGATCTCGATGCCGCCTCTCGTGTCTTCTGATGCGGTGGCCTCAGCTGCCCCGACACGCCACACGCAACCCGCAGCGTGTGGACGCGGAGCTCAACACGTCGATCGAAAACGTAGGCCTGGCGCGACACGTTCGCCAAAACGTGGGCCGGTACGTCGAGCCAACACGCAGCGTGTTCACGCGGACGTTTTGAACACGGCACGTGCTGAGGTTCAGAGCGGGCGCATCAGGGCAGCGAAGCGTGGGCCTCGCAACAAAAATAGCGTGCGAGATCGATCGCCGAAAAGCCGGCGCTCCCCGTGAGGCGATCTCCCCCCCGCGAGGGCCCCTCTCTGCGCACGCTGCCGCCCTGCGCGAGCGCCTCGCCGGTGACCACGCCATGCCCCCTCCCGGGGCCTCGCCGATGCACCATAACTGTCCCCCCGGGTAGCCTGTCTCCAGGCGGGCTGGCGGCGCCACATCGCACGCTATCCTTACGACGCCAACCGTACAGTGGGGGCACTGGATAAGGAACCCTTGGATAAGGAGTCCAACCGAGGCCTGGCCTCATCAATAGATGAGGAACCCTTAGATGAGGAATCCAAGATGAGGAACCCTTAGATAAGGAACCCTTCGATGAGGAATCCAGGGTCTGGAGGCCAGTGGAACTCCAATCGAGGCTTGGCCATGGATCTCACCGCCGCCCTCATCGAATGAGGAATCCTCCAGAGTCTGGCGCCTCCTGGGACGATGCCTGAATCAACGCCCCGACTGTTGCTGGCACATGACGAAAGCATCGACGACGCATCGCTGATGCATCTCGGCGATCGGCTAATTCTAGGCCCACGACGGCGGAACAGCACGCTCCCGGGGCAGGGTGGGGCAAGCCCCAGTCGCCGATGAGTGGACGACTGTAGGGGTCGACGTTTGTCCTCCTAGCAGGGTTAGGTCGGGCATGGCCTCCTACAGGCAGGATCTGGAGGAGCAAAAATGTCAAAAAGCATGCAGAAAGGATCCAAACATGTCAAAAAGTCGCCCCCTGACTATTCTCCATATTTTTGGATATTCCCCCTGTAGAAGGAAGGAAGGACACGCCCGACTTCATTGTCAGGGCCAGCATCGTATCGGGAAGCCGGATCGAAATCAAAATCCGATCGAGCCTTTCGGGATCGGGGCCCAAATCAGCGATCGGCGCGTCGGATCGGAAGTCGGAGACGGGAAGCCAGCTCGACGGAAAAGAGATCGGAACCGCATCCGAGCTCTTTGTTTCGACCTGGATCGGAATCGAATCGAATCGGAATCGAGCAGGTCCTCGAGCCAGCATAAGCTGAGCGGGCTAGGAGGCTCGGAGCCGCCCCCCCCTCGTCGTTTCTTGTGATGGCCTCAGGATACAGGCAGGGCCCCCATGAAAGGATAGGGAACCGAACTCTAGACACCGACGCCTTTGTCTGGCCTCACACTGAATCTCGCACAGGAAAGCGGATCCTGGTGTATACGGGATCCTGGTGTGTACATTCTTCGTTGTTTCTCCAGGAAAGCGAAGAAAAAAGTATACACCACACCACCCCGACGTCGTCGCCGACCCTCAAAAAAGTCCCGGGATTGAAAAACCGCCCGCCACTGGTAATGTATATGCTCCAGTTTCTGACAAGAATTGTCCGAAACCTTCTACCGTGGGTTTTGGTCGCGAGGCGGGGTGCTCTGGGGATGCTCCCCTCCCCCTCCCCTCCTCCCCCCTTCGGCGCCCGACGGCTACGCGGCCCTGCCGGACCACCTCCTGGCGAGGCTGATCGACAGCTCGCGGGGCGATGCCAGGATCTCCTCTGGAGGGCCACGTGCGACCCCTACCCCTACCCCCCACGAGTTCTGAGGGGGAGGGTGGGGTTCACTCCGTCCAGGAGCTCCAGAGCGAAGTGAACCCCACCCTCCCCCTCAGAAATCGTTGGGGGTAGGGGCAGGGTTCGCATGTGGTCCCCTATCCTCGAACTTCTGCGACACGACCGCCAGCTCCTTGGAGAGGTCCTCGGGGGAGGGCAGCTCCTGCAGCTTGACGGTCTTCACCAGCACGTGCTCGAACTCCTGGCGGATGGCCCTGGCGGCGCCCATCTCCATCTCGGAGTCGCCGATGACGGTCAGGTTTAGCCGCCTCCCCTCGCCCGCAAACTGCCTGCACACGGCCCGGAAGGCCTCGGCCTTCCACTGCCTCTCTTGGCCGGGCATCTGCTCGCCGTGCGCGCTGCGGGCGGACACGATTCGCACCGCGCCCAGCGCCTCGCAGAGGCCGGGGACGTACTTGGCGGCGCTGTGCTCCACCCAGCCCTCGACGGCGTTGGTGACGATGATGCAGTGGCCCCTCTGGGCGGCGAGCCCCAGCAGCCGCACGGCGGTGGCCTCGATGCTCCGGAAGTGCGGCCGCGCGCTCTTCGGCAGGCCCTTGTCCTCGTCCCGGACGTGTGCCCGCAGGAAGCTGCTGCACAGCAGCGTGTCGTCCCAGTCGAAGACGGTTCGGGCGCTCGGTAACGGGAGGGGAAAAAGACTCGAGAACTTTTGCCCAACCTGTCGCGGCAGCAGCCCCGGCCACCCGCTATGCCTAGCGTGCCGCTCCGCATCGCGGGGCGGGAAGCTCGGAAAGGCTTGGGGCGTCGACGCTTGGGGAATGGGACGTTGGTCGCGTGCAGCGCCAAAGCAGGGTGGGCCAGCACCGGCGGAACGACACGCCAAGCAAAAGTTCCCCACCGCGAAGAAGCCCCCGTTTGCCAGCACCTCTTGAGCCCGCGGTTGCAGTGCGGGGCCCCTCCCTCTGTGGGCCACCCTCCTGCAAAGCGTGGCGGCGCCCTCGTGGGGGATGGCGCGAGGGGGGGGTCTGTAATGGCAGGGGCCTTCGCAGAAGGGCCAGGCGTTAGGTCGGGCATATCCTCCTACCGGCGGATTTGGGCAGGCAAAACAAAATAGCCGAAAACTGCGTAGAAATACGAAATAATAACCGACAGATCGTCCGCCGGCTCTCTTTGTCGCACTGCTTTAGAGCATTCCTCCTGTAGAGGTCGGAGGCCTAGAGGTTGACATCAACACCAATATCGGCGGTGTGCCTCCACCGAGGGAAGAAGGTACCGATCTCGGTGGTGGTAGTAAGATTCTGAATCTTCAAGGTGACCGACAGATTACCACCAGAACCGAAATCTGGGATCATCTTCCCCCTGTGGAGGCAGCCCCCTGTGTTGGTGTTGGTGCCCGCTTCCCAGCCTCCAAAGAGGGACGTGCCCGACGGAATCTCAGGTGGCAGAGGCCTTCGCAGCAGGGCCGGGCGGCTCCCAACGAGGGCCCCTCCCGTGCCCGCCCGTCCCCTGCCCGGGGTCAATCGGCGCACGTCCTCTCCACGGTGGGAGGTATCGGGCGTCGCTTCACGAGGGGGCGCTGCATGGGGGAAGAGGAGGAGGAGGAGGAGGAGGAGGAGGAGGAGGAGGAGGAGGAGGAGGAGGAGGAGGAGGAAGAGGGGGAGGGGGAGGAGGAGGAAGAGGGGGTAGGTGCACTTCTCGCGCCCTGAAGAGGCCCCCCTTCGGGCCCCGAAGGGCCCCTGCAGGGAAAGCCCCCTTTTCTGCAGCCCTCGCTGCCCAACGGTCCTGCTTCACCGAGACATGGAGCAGATGCCATGTGAACCATCTTGGCTGTCAGGAGCCTTTGAGACCGTCAACGGAAGTCAGGGAAGACGGGGAGGAACAACAAACGATCCATCTCACCGCCGGGGCGTGACCTGAGGAACCCGAAATAAGAAACGAGCCCCCTCCTGTCCCCCATGAACAACCTCAGGAAAACCTAGAAGGCAAACTGTAAGTCGGGGGCGGCCAAGAGGGGGGCGGCCAAGAGGGGGGGGCGCAAATCATGGCCGACGGCATGTGCGCGGCCCAAGGGTGGGGTGGCCCGGGACGCAATGAAAACGAGAAGAGGCGCCATGAAATCGGGGGAGACATCATGGCCCACGCCACGATGTCCACCCACCCCAGTCATCACCCCCCTCTTTGCCGCCGCTCCCCCACGAAAGGGCTCCTCCTTCCGCGCCCCGACGGTATCGCCCCCCGCTGCTTGAGCAGGGACCGACCGTCCCGGCATTCCTATAGTCATACCACGAAATGTTCTTAGAACCCAAAAATGTTCTAAGAACAAAAACAATCTTCTTAGAACAGATTCCCGATGTGTTAAAACAAGACGCTCCCGACCAGGAACATTTCGTGGGAACCACAAAGGGTTCGGAGAACATTGTTTGGTAGGGCTATACGGCAGGTTCGTGTCGTGCCGACCCCAGCGTTGGTTTCTGACACCGCGGGGATCGCTCAACCTTGAACGATCGGCCGCTGCCGCAACGTCCGATCGTTCAACATCGACCGATTCTGGGCCGCCGTCGGCGTTCAACGTTGAACGTCGGCGGCGGGGTCGCCGCCTGGTCGACACGACGCGAACCTACCGTAGGCGAGTCGAGACGCTTCGCCACTGCTTGAGCTGCGCGGCGCCCACCAGGATGGCACGTGTCACCGCGGGCCGGCGACGCCACACCGCACGACGCCACATCTTGGCGGCCTCCCCCCGCCGATAGAGGGCAGACAAGCCACGAAAATCAAGTGAATCAAGACTTATAACACATTAAATCTAGATTTAATGTTGTTTTCAAATTGATCTTCCAGACTTCGGACTCCAAACATTCAAATCTAGATGAAATTGATTAATGTGCTTTACAGCAGCAGCAGCACCCCCATACGAATCACCCCGACACGCGAAGCCGCTTAGCAAACGCACCCCAAGAAGGAATCAAGCAGGGCAGGGTTGTTTGGTAAACGCCCAAGGCCGTTTAATATAACGCCAATTGTCGGGTCCGGGTGGTTGTTCCTCCCTGGAGCCTGCCCCGAGACATCCGACGCTGAGAAACAGCTGCAACTTTTCTAGGGATCCCGAAACCGTGCGAAGACAGACCGTGCGGTGACCTCGTAACCACAAGAGACCTCACCGCACGGTCCGTCACCGCACGGTCTTGGGACCCTGGAGGCCCCTGTCGCCCGAGACATCCTCGGAGAGGGACTCGAGTCCCGAAACCGTGCGGTGACCCCGAATCCTCACCGACTCACCACACGGTGTGGTCACCACACCGTCTGGGGGCCTCCGAAACATCGCGAGAAATCTCGACCGGGGGTCTGAACCCCACCTTTTCGGGGGGGCACACAGGTGGGGTGGGGGCAAAGGTGGGGTCGGAAGGGAGATCGCTTCGAACTGCCCCTGGAAAAAGGAAGCGTAAGAAACGGGAGCATCCAGCTGGGCCCGTTCCCCAACTCCACCTCGGCATAACCCTCCCTCCATTCACCCCCGACCTCTCTGCGGCGTTTTGCCAGCCGGAGCGATCTGCGAGGGCCCCGATGACCACCGTCGCGGTGGTCGGCTGGGTAGACCGCGAGGCTAGCTCCTTGCCCACCTCACCCTGTGCGAGGCGTGGATTTATCCATATCCACCGCCTGGGAGCCGGCGTCCTGGTGTCCCAGCGGGCAGTGGGCATGGATCTATGTCGGCCCCTGGCGGCCCGAATCTGTCCAGATCCACTGCCTGTGAAGGTCCGCGAAGATCGGCGGTGGCTATGTATAAATTCCCGCCTCGGACCCTGTACAGTCATCGGTCTGACCTAAGGAATAATGAATAAGGAACGAAGCCCCTTATTTTTCCAAGGAGTAACGCAGAAGGAACGATATATATATATATATATATAACAAACAACGCATTAAGGAATGATGAATAGCGCATGCAAGCCTAAGGAACGACCGAGCCCCTTCTGAAAAAGGAAGTGTTCCTTACTCGAGCCGCTCACTGTGGGCCTCCGCTCGACACCAAGAGGGCGCGCGCCAGCTCGGGGGTCCGAGGCCGTCGGGGCCCGACACCGGGCCAGACCGCCCCGTGCGATACCAGAGGCCTCCTATGGATGGGGTCCGAGTGGATGGGGTCGGAGGATCGCGCCGCACCGCCGATGCATCGGCGATGCACCGGCGATGCCCTGGCGACGTCTCGCCGACGCGGGCGATGCATCGGCAACGTCGACGCGAAGAAAAATCGGGCTCCACCTCGAGCCGCATTTTGAGCAGGGACCGACCGTCCCGGCATTCCAACAGGCCTACCACGAAATGCTGTTTGAACCCAAAAATGCTCTAATAACAAACAAACGGTTCTTCGAACATAGCCCAGACGCGTTCAAACAAGACAGACTCAGCCAGAAATGTTCTAAGAACATTTCGTGCAGACCACAAAAGGTTCTGAGAACATTGTTTGGTGGGCCTATAGGCAAGCCAGGACGCTTCGCCACTGCTCGAGCATCGGTGGTGCATCGGCGATACTCCGACCCCAAGGAGGCCTAGACTTACGTCAGGCCTGTCCTCCTACAGGGGGACGTTGAACGAAAAACAAAACATACCCCCCAGATATGCAAAGCCTGTTCGAAAGTAGTCAAAACATCGCCCCCGGACTACTTGTGGAGCTGACTATGTTTGGATACATTCCCCCTGTAGAGGGACAGGCCCCCACGCAGGCCCCTGGACTACTTGTGGAGCTGACTATGTTTGGATACATTCCTCCTGTAGAGGGACAGGCCCCCACGCAGGCCCCTGGACTACTTGTGGAGCTGACTATGTTTGGATACATTCCTCATGTAGAGGGACCGGCCCCCACGCAGGCCCCCGGACTACTTGTGGAGCTGATTATGTTTGGATAGATTCCTCCTGTAGAGGGACCGGCCCCCACGCAGGCCCCCAGACTACTTGTGGAGCTGATTATGTTTGGATAGATTCCTCCTGTAGAGGGAAAGGCCCCCACTGCAGGTCCGTGCCGTGTCGACCCTGGCGTTGGTTCCTGACACCGCGCTGGATCGTTCTACCTTGAACGATCGGCCGCTGCCGCAACGTCCGATCGTTCCACATCGACCGATTCTGGGCCGCCGTCGGCGTTCAACGCTGAACGCCCGCGCTGGGGTCGCCGCTGGTCGACACGACGCAAACCTACCCCACGCAGGCCCAGGCGAGAAGAGGAGGTGCGCGGCGCCGCCCGGCCGAGGGGCATGGGGAGGGTGGCGGGGAGGAGTCCCACCAGGAGGAGGAGGAGGAGGAGGAGGAGGAGGAGGAGGAGAGGAGGAGGAGGAGGAGGAGGAGGAGGAGGAGGAGGAGGAGGAGGAGGAGGAGGAGGAGGAGGAGGAGGAGGAGGTGCGCGGCGCCGCCCCGACCTCCCGGGGGGCGGGCGGCAGCCCCCCCCCGCCCGCCGAGCGCCCCGGCTGGTGACGGTCTCCTGCCGCGGCCCCGCGCGCGGCGGCCCTGCGCCCGCGCTCCCGGGCTCGCCGGCGGTGCCAAAGGGGGGGGGGCCTCGGGAGCTCCCACAGGGCGACGAGATCTATGCATATCCACTGCTCCTGGCCAGGCCCATCCTGGGCCCAGGAGCGGTGTACACGCCCTCCTGGCCTGGCCGGGGAGGCATACACACAGCTCCTGGGCCCAGGATGGGCCTGGCCAGGAGCAGTGGATATGTATAGATCTCGTCGCCACAGGGGGGTGCAGCTGCAAGGGGGCGGTGCAGTGCATCTTGGCTGCCTACCAGACCACCCCAACCCAACCCGAAGGCCCGAATCCGACCCGAATTTCGGGTTGGGGGAGGTACGGGTTCCATGTGTTTTTTCAACGTTCCCAGACCCCCCCCCTACTGGAAATGGAAGGCAAATTGAGGCCTTCGGGTTGGGTTGGGGTGGTTTGGTAGGTGGTGAGATCTGGGGCACACGTATATTGCAAGCGCTCTGCGCTGGAGAATCGTGCTGACTTGTATCTGGCAACCACGGCAGTGAGCGCGGAAAACCAGCAACACACCTGCGCCCTGCGCAAGCGGGGGGGTCTCTGGATCACCCGCAGTAGTGAGGGATGGAAAACCGGCCCTACCCTGGGTTACAAGGGCGTGGTCTGTGAACCTCCCGGGAACCCCCAAAGCCTGGCACCGCCAGGCCGCGGCACTTCACGCAGGGTGTACCCCGTCAGCCCACAGGAGTTTCAGCGCACAGCGCCTCGTAAACCAGGGTAGGGGCGTTTTTTTATGCCCTTGACACGAAGGGTTCCAGCTGCAAGGGGATGGTGCAGTGGATGTGGGGCAAGCGTATTGCCAACGCGCTGCGCCGGAGAATCGTGTCGACTCTGTATGGCAACCATGGCAGTGCGCACGCGGAAGACCAGCAGCACACTTGCGCCCTGGAATGTGCTGCACGCCCCAGATGTATTGCAACCCCACAAATCTATTGCACCAAATCTATTGCACCAGCCCCTTTGTCGCTAGACCCCCTTTTGATTCAAACAAATGGTCCTGACCCAGACCCCCTCGCGTTGCGAACAAAATCACGCTTCGGGAGGCCTTTCGTCAGTTTCATCCTCCGCCAGGGGGGCCCTTCCTGGGCCGATCGGTCGGCTACACGTAAGAGTGACCCTGGGTAAGAGTGACCTTTGGTGCGCGGCTTTTTCGGGGCCACTGGGGGGGGCAACAAAAGCGCGCAATACGCCACTACCGCACCGCCCTCGGCGATCGGGGGGCCCAGTGGGCGCGCACCAAAGGTCACCCAGGCGAGAGGTCAGTCTTGCGTGTAGTCGAATCGGGACCGTCGAACAACGACTCGGGACAAAAACTGGTCCCAGGGAAGGGGTCTAGACCCCTGGGGGTCGACGTCACAACAAAAATCACGACGCGGGGGGGGTCATGGGGGCCCCGAGGACTTCGGCTGCACGCGGGAGTGCCCCCCCCATCGGCAAGGGTGATTTTGGTTGTGCGCGGGCCACAAACGGGGCGCAGGGTGGCCAAAAGCCAAGCGCGCAGGCAGCCGCTGAAGCACCGCGCTCCTCGATCAAGGGGACCTCGATGCGCCCGCACCAAGGGTTTATTTAGGCTTAGGGCCGGCTGTCGCGAAGGGTCACTCTAATTACGTCGAGGGCTGAGGAGTCCTGTCCAGTGTCCAAGTAGCGCACCCTTGGACCCTCCCTCTTCTGGGGAAACCACGAGGTACGGATACCGCTACCCCCTGGACCTCTCCCAGGGTGCGTTCTGACCAGAATTTGGAGGCAAATCCAGCGGTGGTGACGAGGGCCTTCCAGGAGGCCCAAAAACAGGAAAACGGCCGAAGGGTAGCGGTATGGGAATATGTTCCATTCTCTGACTCTCTCCTTTCAGGTCCCCCTCGCTTAGGTCGCACACGGTTTCCCCCGGGGCCGTAGGCGACCCGAGGAGGAGGAGGAGGAGGAGGAGGAGGAGGAGGAGGAGGAGGAGGAGGAGCAGGAGGTGGAGGAGGAGGGGGAGGGGGAGGAGGCAAGCTATTTGCGCTCGCGTCATATCGGACGTCCTAACCCTCCCTCCCATCCCTTACCATGGCGCTGATTTTCTCTATCCGCGGACGCGTGTCGTAGCGGACCTGTGGCTCCGCGCGCGCGTGCGTAGCGGGTGGTGGTGCGCGTGCGTGCGTGCGTGTGTGTGTGTGTGTGTGTGCGTGGTTGTGGTTGTGGTGGTGGTGGTGGTTTGTGTGTGTGCGTGTGTGCGCGTGTGCTGTGGTGTGACGTGGTGTGGCGTCTTGGTGGTTTGGTGGTGGGCCAGGCGCGTGCGTGCGTGATGGCGGTGGTGGTGGCGGTGGTGGTGTGTGTACGTGTACGTGTACGTGTGCGTGTGCGTGTGCGTGTGCGTGTGCGTGTGCGTGCGCGTGCGCGTGCGCGTGCGTGCGCGGCGCGTGCGTGTGCGTGTGCGTGTGCGTGTGCGTGTGCGTGTGCGTGTGCGTGTGCTGTGTGTGCGTGTGAGTGTGTGCGTGTGCGTGTGCGTGTGCGTGCGTGTGCGTGTGTGTGCGTGTGCGTGTGCGTGGCGTGTGTGCGTGCGTGTGCGTGTGCGTGTGCGTGTGCGAATGCG